TTGTGAAAAATGTGTGTGTGTGTGTGTGTGTGTGTGTGTGTGTGTGTGTGTGTGTGTGTGTGTGTGTGTGTTACCAAACAAAAACTTCCTGATCCAGATAGAGAGAAGCTATAAAAGAAACACACTAACCTGTATACTATCTCAAAGCCTACTACACACACTCTGCAAACTAAGAGTGCTCCTTCCTGGGCTGAGAAGATACCTCCCACCCCTCCCCCATCAATGAAGGGCTTTCTATGCAAACATAAGGACCTGAGTTCAATCCCCATAACCCACCTATGTGAAAAGCCAGGCAGAGTGCTGCCTTGACATCCCATAATGAACTTGACCTAAACCATCGGCAAGAATGAACCTTTTCTCCCTGGAGTTTGTCAGCTTGTTTTATCACAGCAACAGTGAAAGAAACTAACATTGTGCATCAAACACTCCCATGCCCATGTGCTCTGAGGAGCATGAAGACTCTAATCAGAGAAAGCAGGATGGACAGAGAGATCCATAAGGATCAGTCGAGGTGTGCCTTTCTCCTTGTCATCATATGTTCCAAAGACACTGGCTGACCCCAAGAATAACACCTGGACTTCGTCTTTGAATTAAAAGCTTCACCTGTGATTCTTTATTGTGGCCTCAACAAGTATTAGGCTGAGACCATGCCAGGTCCTAATGGAGTGGATTTAGGCATTTCTTACATTTACATTTTCATAGCATAAGATAAATACTGGCATCTTTCTGTGGAACACTCCTGCACAGCCCTGATTTGATTTTCTACTTGCTCAGAATATCAAGTTCCGATTTCTTAGAATCCTAATGTATGCTCGTGAGTGAGCCTGTTAGACAGGAGTCATCCCTGTGATACTTATAATAGTACTTAGTGCAAACCTGTCAAAGGTACTTCTAAGAGATTACCCGGGGTCCTGGGGAGGTATATTTAGCAACCATATTGAATGAGTTGTCACATAACACAACGTTTCATTGATTTATGGTTGTTATTTCTGTCTCTTACTGCAGGCAGAGAATTCGGCACTGGCGCTGGAAAATGAGAATCAAAGAGAACAGTATGAGAGATGTCTTGATGAGGTGAGGCTGGGTAAGAGGGCAGACGAGAAGCTGGAACATTAAGGAACGTAATCGGGTCAGAGGGCATGGGAGTTCCATGATGTACAGAACTGTACAAAGTTGTAAAAAGATGTCCACTGAGAAGTATTGTTCTCAATCTCTCCTTCCCTCTGCCTCACCTCCCCCACAGATTTGCCCTCTACATATGTCTGATTTCTCTCCCCTCCCTAATACATCTCTTTCCTCTCAGCCCTCTCTCCTCTTTCTCCTTTCTCTCCTCTCTCCATCCCTCTCTCTCCTTCCTCCTCTTTTACCTGATACTGTGTCTCTTCTTCCCCCTTCTCCCCTTCATCCCTCTCTCTGCCTCCTTCTTTCTCTCCTGTGTGAATGTCTCTATATGTGAATCTCCTCTCCCTCTCCCCTTCCTTTTCTCTGCTGCCTCTCCTCTTTCCTTTCCCTCTCCTATTTCTCTCTTCTGTCTCACCTCCACTCTGCCCCTGTCTTCCTTTCCTCCCTTCCTCTGTAACTTTCACAGGGCATCTGTGATTCCTTGGGATAATTGTCTTCCATCCTTGCACACACTTGGGGCGGGATTCACTGTTTGATCAATTCCTTCTGTCCAAGAAGTGCGATCCTTGGCCCTGAATGAGAAAGAACCACACGTGTGCAGTTGGATGCATTCTCTGAGAAGTGAATTGCTGATTGAGAGGGTGGGGACAGCGTTCACAGTTGGCAACCCGAGGGGGGAAATCCACAGATTGAGCACAAGCCAAAAAGAAAAAGAGAAGTCAGGAAGAAAATTTGAGTGCAGTGGAAGAAGACGGAACCCCACGCATGAGTAAACTCAATAAATATTATCTGATAATGATGGCAAGATGAGGACAAAAATGGTGGTTGTTGGAGAGCGTCTTGGGAGGAGCAGGGGTACTGAAGCCTGCTCAGAGCTCTCAAACTCCTCAGCACCTTCTCCCACTGTTAGGCATAGGAGCCAGTCACACTGCTGCTTCTTACCACAATGGTCCACTGGCCATGTGGAAAAGTTCTCCTCAGGGACTCCACTATGATGGGAGTTGTTATTTAAATGACATAACTTCTTTAGACACATCTTCCCAGTGTGTTAAAACTCTCACACTTTCTGTAAGATTCTGTTGGTGGATTATTAGAGTGTAGCTGAATAGATTTTAGAAAAATTGCATGTTATCTTGTCCCATTATTTTACTTGTGAGGTGACCAGTATAGCTTCATTTTTTTCCTCCTTGCTAACAGCTATATAAATGTTTTTCAGTGAGCTCCTTTTGATATTCTTGCCTTCCCCATCCAATCCTTCCTCTGTCTCCTTTGACTTTGTCCTAGAAGTTGATGGGTGGGACCAGGAGGTACAGAAGCCAGAATCCCAGGTATATAACCCAGTCTACCACCATATTCCTCCTCCTTCCGACTAGTGTAATCTCCTCCTTTCAGGGATGAATTTTTTGACTATTTTGGTTTTCCCACAGCACTGTCTTCCCTAGGCTAGGATAGTCTCATACCAGTGCCATTCTGGGCTAGGATAGTCCCAGACCAGTGTCTCCCCTAGACTGGGATAATCCCACACCAGTGTTTTTCCTAGGCTGGGATAGTCTCACACCAGTGTTCTCTTAGGCTTAGATAATCTCACATCATCCTTGACCCGAATAGTCCCACACCAGTATTTACCCTAGGATAGGAGAGTCCCACAACAGTGATTCTTCTCTGCTAAGGTTTGTCCACACCTGTGGTTTTGCACACTCACTATGTAGCCAAGGATGACCTTGAACTCCTGGTCTTCCACCTCCCATGTTCTGGGATTACAGGCATGTGCCATAATGCCTTGATTATGTGGTGCTGGGGATGGAAGCAGTGCCAGCTGGTCCATAGCCTCAGGCCCACCCAGTGGTTGTTAAGGATATGCCATCTAGCCCCACAACATGAGCCATATTTGGGAGCTTGGGATGAATGCTGACTTCCAGAACTCATCCATAACCCTCAGAACCCTGATGCCATGCAGGGTGAGCCCAGCATTTTTCTGTTAGCAGGCTCTCTTGCTGGTGTCTGTACACATTGCTCATGCAGTCTTGGCCTCATAATACTGACTACTCCGTCCTTGGTACTTGGTACGTACATGCTGTTGGAGAACTCTCCAGATGTCCCTTAAATTTACCTAATATTCAGTCTTCTAGTTGTTTAGTGTTTCTAACCATTCTGATTACTTCCTCCAACAAACAGTGTTCGTAACCTTCTGCCCTATCAGGCCTCAGAAACTCCTGAATGGGACTGGAAGAATAGATTATTGGATGAAGTATGCACAAGGAGCTTGGTTTGAATCTTGAAGCCCATGTATGCATCAAGCATGGGGGCAGACCTGTACTCCAAACATTCAGCAGGCGAGACAGGCAGATCCCTGGGGCTCACTGTCCAGGCAGCCTAGCCTACTCAGTAACAAACAAGCTAATGAGAGACTGTGTAAGAAGAAATAATATAGACAGTACCTGAGGGATGACACCTGAGGTTTATGTACGGCTTCTGCACAGACACATAGACACATACATGAATGCACGAATACACACACACACACACACACACACACACACACACACACACCAATCATTCCAGTATCCAAAGTTAAAGCAATCAGGAAAGTGGTTGACATAAGACCTGGCACACAGACTTGGGGTCTGTTGAGGCCAGTTCAGCTTTCCTCAGCCCTGCTCCCCAGGCCCTTGGTCCAGTCCAAGTCTAGGTCAAGAAAGACCAAATAGATCCAAGGCTATTTAAAGGAGCCAATAATCCCCCTGGGTTAAAAGTATTGATGAGCCAAGTTGCACTTTCACCCCTTGCACAGAAGTTTCCAGTGAGACATGACCAGTATTCAGAAGTCAAATCTATGGGCTCAAACCACAGAGCTTCGTATTTACCACAGTATTCCCTTGGGTTGCTCTCCATCCAGCACAAAGCTCACAGGTTTTCTCCTGTAGAAATCGCAGTCTTGGCTGTGCAGATATCTCAGTCTGTAAAACATAAGGATGAGGACCTAAGTTCGGATCCCCAGAACCCTTGTAAAAAGCTAGGTATAGTTGTACACACCTGTAATCCCAATACTGTGGAGGCAGAGATTGAAGGGTCCCTGGGGCTACCTAGCCAGTCAGTTCAGCTGAATCAATGAGCTCTAGGTTCAGTGAGAAACCCAGTCTCAACAAATTCAGTTGGAGAAGTAACTGAAGAAAAAACACTTTATGTCTATATCTGACATCAGCATGCACACAAACATACAAGCACATACAGACATGAATGCCCACATCTGCTTCCAATGTATTCCTCAGACCTGTGCTATGTGGGTTTCTCTCATGCAAACCAAATTTCTCTCCTATGAAATCATTATCTGTGGTTCCACTGACAGTAGGATTTTTGGAGAGAGAGTCCCTCTGTTCCTAATTGCAGAAATTAACAGTTGCCAGCAAGGTGATTTACAACAAAGAGCCACCTCTGAACAACACAAATGTTTTGTATTCATGAATACTGGCCTCTGATTACACATGCCTGTTGTTCTGTAACTAATTGCACGGGGTAGACTGACTGTTTCCAGGCTTTGTAAGAGAATGCCCTCTGAGGGCCAGTTCCATCTAGTAATAATGTGAAGTGCAAATTCTTTCCAAGGCTTTTTATACTAATTAGTCCGACTAACAAGGTAAGGCCTCCTGTAAGTTATTTCCTTGCTAATAAGTTCCATAAAACATACCCTGATGGGTAAGACATGACTTTAAAGCACCCTCAATCCTTTTTGCCCTCGTGCTTGTTTTCAGGGAAATGGAAGGCTTGTGGAGGATTTGGGGAAACACTGGGGCGTCTAAAATTCTGTCTGTACTTTTATTAAAAGAACGTGTTTACTAGAAATAGGTAGACACTGCTTAGACGGATGCACACTCACTCACACAGGTGCATTGCCTCCCCACACATACATAGACGAATACATACACCACACACATATGTGCAGATATATATACACACCCTCTCATATACATAGATAAATATCTTCAGCCCCCCATACATAAACCACATACCATGCTTGATAGATATGGTAGATACACACACAACCACACGCACACACATGCCCACTTCCCTTCTCTTGCTTCTTGGCATTGGGGCAAAAAGACCACTCCATGGATTACCCTCCTCTATTTATGGGAATTTGGAAGTCTTCAGGATTCAGTCTCTACTTTCTTAGTCTGAATGTTTGACAGGCAGTCTACCACCAGGTGGTGAATTGTTATTTATCCATAGTATTGCCTTCGTCACAATTCCTTCCAGAGCAATTGTTCTCATACAGAGGTACAATGTGTATCTATAATAAACATGATAGCGTCCCTTGAACCACTGCATTGCCTTCAGATGGATGCAGAGACATCTGACAAAACTGCATTGAGTTCATCCCTTATGGGCCCTGGTGTGGAAACCTTAGGCTAGCAGAAGTGAGGAGGTTAGAGGGTCGTGGAATCTGGGTTAGGGAAGCTGCTGCGTGCAGTGGGGACTTCAGGAATGGACAGTAGTCCGCAGTGGGTAGGAGGAGTGAGGCAGAGCAGCAGTAAAGGACGGGGCAGGCTTGGAGAGGACTCAGCAGGAGCAAGGGTGTGGGTTCAGAACAATAGATGGCTTTCATGGCTGAATTTGTCCTGAGATATTGTGTGTGTGTGTGTGTGTGTGTGTGTGTGTGTGTGTCTGTCTGTCTGTCTGTCTGTCTGTCTGTCTGTCTGTCTGTCTGTCTGTCTGTCTGTCTGTCTGTCTGTCTGTCTGTCTGCCATATGGAGGCCAGAGGTTAATGCTACTGACTCCTCAATCACCTTCCACCTTGTTTTATTTTTGAGACAGAGTCTCATAGATTAGGTTACACTGGCTGGCCAACAAGCCCCAGGAATCCTCCTGTGTCTGGCTCCCCAGGACTGGGATTACAGACATATACTATCATACTCTATTTCTTGGGTGGGTGCTGGGATTCAAACCCAGGTCTT